CACCCACCAGAATTTCATTCTTGCCTGCTGAGACAGTGATAGGGACTGTCCTCCGGGTGAGTCACCAAACACCAAGCTAGAATCTCTGTCCTCAGCCACTGATCTGTGACCATTAGACCCCAGGAACACAGAAGAACAGGGGTAGGCCTGAATTTTTGTTTCAATTCATAAAGGAGAGAGACAGGAGGGATGATGATGATGATGATTTTGAGACAGGGTCTCCCTGTTGCCCCAGCTGGCCTGGAACTCACTATGTAGACCAGGCTGGCCTCCATCTCACAGAGATCCACCTGCCTCTGCTTCCCAGGTTCTGGGATTAAAGATGTGTACTACCACACCAGTTCAAGGATTATCATTTTTAAATATTCAAATAAGTGAGGGAATTTAGGAATTCAGATTTAGGGCAAAACAACTTGGGTTCTAATCCTGGTTCTGCTATGTGACTCTGTGTAAGTAATTTTAAAACTTACATTTATTTGTGTGTGTATGTATGTGTGTGGGCACATGCATGCCATAGCACACATGTGGAGATCAGAGGACAGCTTGTAAGAGTCAGTTCTCTTCTTCCACCAGTGGGTCCTGGGGAAAGAACTTGGATCATCAGGCTTGAAGACAAGTGCCTCAACCCTCTGAACCATCTCATTGGCATCTAGACAAGTAGTTTAATCCCCCTTTACCTCAGTTTCATCAACTATAATATAGGAATTATGGTCTATCATTTAAGAGTACTATAAGGATCAAATGAGTGAATTTTTTGTAAAGATTTTAGAGCAATGCATGGAACATAATAATCCATGCATTTATATTTGTTCAACAAAAATACCCTTGTTTATACCCTTTTTTCTTCCTCCTAGTTTCTAGCCCTACCACCTGGCCCTACCAAAACAAGCTGATAGTATATACCTGACCTTTTTCTACTCTTTCATCTAGTAATTTCAATCCTCATCACCTCTCACACTACTCCCAGCCTGGGTATTATTTCCCGTGGCAGCCATGGCAGATTACCACGAACTTGGTGACTTAAGTAACAGGAATGTATTATTGTCTTACAGTTATGGAGGTTAGAATTTCAAAACTAAGATGTTGCAAGGCAATTTCTGCTGGACCCTCTGAAGGAGAATCTGTTCTCTTACTCTTTCCCTCTCCCTCTCTACTCTCTATCACTCTCTCATAAGACTGTCTCATGTAGCTGGGCCTAGCCTTGAACCTGCTATGCAGCCCGCTATGTAGTTGAACTTCTGATCCTCCTGCCTCTACCTTCTGATGCTGGAATACAGCATATGTCGCCACACCAGGTTCCATGCCTCTCTTTTAGTGTCTTTATACATGCACTGTTTAGCCTTTAAGAGGGATGCGTTCTCTGGTCACTTCCAATATTACCCTTCCCTATTACCTCTTTGCCTGATCCCTCACACATCTGTTTCCTGATCCTGAAGCCATTTGAGTTTGCAACACTGACCTAGTTTTGTTTCTGTTGCTGTGATGCTGAGAAAAAGCAACTCAGGGAGAAAGGGGTGTTTTTAGCTCACAATTCTAGATTTCAGTCTATCACTGCAAGGAAGTCACAGAGGCAGGGGTCTGAGACAGCTGGTTACATCACATCCACCTTCAAGACCAGAGACAGACTAAAGGCAAGTGTGCTTCATGCTCAGCTAGTTTTTCAGACAGTTCCAGAGCCCAAAACCAGGGACTGGTGCTGACCACTTTCAGACTGGGTCTTCCCACATTATTAAGGCCATCAAGATAATTCCCCAACAGCTATGCACACAGGCCTACAGGATCTAGACAGCCCTTCACAGAGACTCTTCCTAGGTGATTCTAGGTTGTATCTAGTTGATTAGTAAAGCTAACCATCACAAACACCTTCCTTTAATCCTTGGACAGTCAAATGCCTTCCCATTTTATTTCAAGACATCTACCGAAATTTGGCTCGGTTTTCCTGGGAAATATGCACAGCTCACACAACTCAGTCCAGTTCAGGACTGCTTTATTTTATTAAACCAGAAACACTTAGGTGGCCCGTGCCTGGAGAAGCCTCTCTTGCTCCTTTTTCACACTCCCAAGTTTGGCACTTGATGAACATTTTTGCATTCAAATTCATAATTTTGTTTTCCTTCCTGCCACTGGTCTAATTTCTTTACTTGACCCATTCACCTAAAACAAATGACCTTGTTTCTCCATTTTTGCTTTTTGTCTGCTTCCTGTTTCCCTCTCTCCAATTTCCTTGTTCTGTGACTCATTTGTCAGAGAGATGCCAGGTGATTCCATCTGTCACTAGGATACCGGTAAGTATTTAACAACTTTGGGTCCTGCTTTGAACTCAATTAATTGATCATTTTAACCTCATCATTTCCTTAGTTGGGTCCAATCCCTCTCCTTGTTCTTTGGGCAAAGCTGGAGGCTGGAGGTACAGATTTCATCTAAGCTTTATTAGGAGTATTTTCTAAGTTTTGTTTGGTTTTTCATACTTCAAATAACTTAAAAATCAATACTTTGATGATTGAAGTATAAATGAATAAGAAATATGGAATAAGTTTTCCCTTCAATTACATAAACAGAAATTCTGTATGTTTCTGTGGGAATCCATGGCAGTCACTGGGCACGTGCTAAGCTCCTGGTAATGAGTGGCCTCTTCTCTTCTTGTCATGGACCTGCACCTTTGCCATCTTTGCTGGCTTTCTTTGCATCTAGTGCATTTTACCTTTTGGGATTGCTATTAAACTACTATTGTTCCTTTTTTAAATCAAAGATTTCAAAATAGGTATAGATGAGAACCTGTGATCTTAGCTCTCCATGGACAGTGCCATTTAACTAGCTCTTGCTGCTGAATTAGGCCCAGATATAGTCTCTCTCTCTCTCTCTCTGTTTTTATGTTTGTTTGTTTATTTGTTTTTGTACTGTTAGACAGGTTCTCATGTACCCCACACTGAGAATTCACTATGTATCTGAAGACAACCTTGACCCTCTGATCCTCCTGCCTTGTCTTCTGGGTGTTCAATTATAGGTGTGGGCCACCATGCCTGGTTTTATGTAGTACTGACGATCAAACCCAGGACTTCACGTATGTTAGGTAAGCACTCCATCAGCTGAACTGTGTCCTAGCCCAGTTGCAGCAATTTTCCTTCTGGATAAGAAAATGGAAATACATTTGTGTCCCTGGAATAAGCTCTTTTTCCTTCTTCTTTTCATGTCAACTTCTTTTATTTATCATAGCATGACAAGTGAGGTTGGGCCAAACACTCTTGAGGAGGGGGACATGTCTAGTGCTCTAATTGGAGGGGCTTATCAATCAAGAGAATTCAGGTGGTGAGGCAAGAAATCAGTTAATGGAATTCTTCTAAAAGGCTTCAAGCTATAGTTCTTATTTCTGCTTTTTTCCCCTTTTCTCAATTTCATTTTCATTGGTTATAATGTATTTTATGTCATAATAAAAATGTGATAATATTCCACTAAATTTCTCTCTTTATTCTTTTGTCATTTGTATAATAACAACAACCATAATAACAGATGGTTTTTTATCACAACAAATAGCTCAATAAATTACATTTTCTCTACACATATTTAAGGAACCAAGCTAGCAATCTAAAATGAGAGCACATTTCCCCCCAGACATCAGAAAAGGAATTGACTCTGTATTTCTTTTTATAAATATTCCATTTCTGTCACATTACATGCCTTATCATCAACTTTGTACATTTTAGGTGTCTACCTTAATATGTGGTAATTGCTGTATTTATAGATTGTCTTTGTTTGCTGTATTTGGTTTGGCTGCCTCTAATCCATCTAAAATGAGAATGGTAATAGTTATGGAGTCTGTTTGGTTCCCCAGTTGATTAACAGTGAATACTTACAACTGTGGTTCTCAACCCCCATCACATATTAAAATTATCTAGGGATCTTTTAATAAATAATGCCAGTCCAACCCAAGTTCCATTGCAAAATTTCTTGGGACTGAGATTGGGCATGTTTGAAACCTCACTGGGTGACTCTAATGCAACTCCAGCATTGAGAATCATTGACTTGGGGCTGGAGAGATGGCTCAGTGGTTAAGAGCACTGACTGATCTTGAAGAGGACCTGGGTTTGATTCCCAGCACCTACATGGTGGCTACCAACCATCCTTAACTCCAGTTCCAGGGGAATCCAATGTCCTCTTCTAACCTCTGCTGCATTGCATGACACAGGTGCACTCACATACATGCAGGCAATACACTCATATACATACAATAAAAATAATAAATGAAATATTAAAAAAAAAGAATCATTGACTTGAGAGCAGTGTCTTGTAACTCAGTATGAGTCAGTGGCATGTGGAATGCTTACTCAAAATAGATCCTCTGGGCCACCTCTAAGGTTTCAGATGCAAGAGGTTGAGGTGGTCTCTAGAATCTTTATTTCTCATGAATTTCAGGTGGTCCTAGCTGGGGAACCACACTCTGAGAACATGAAGGACTGTGTTGGAAAATTTGAGACTGAATTAAGACTCAATGGAAAAGAGAGCCCTGGTGTGTCTGTCATGGCTACTGCTGTCACGGGAAGGGGCAACTGTGTCTGTTGCTCCCACTATGAGAAACTCACCAGTTAACTACTTCATAACAATGTGGAAAGGGACCATTCCTGGAGAGATTGCCTGTTCACAGTTAATCCTACCTGTATTCTGACAGCCAGAGTCAGGAACTGTTCAGCTGAGTCCAGCACAGTGTTCTCCCCACTATCTGGTGCTTCTTCTGCTGGGACCTACCTCCTCTTTACCCACCATTTCCAGTGAACACCAAAGAGGAGCAACTTGCTTGTTTCCCTATGAGTTATTTTACTAAATTTGCCCACTAGGGCCTAGCACTGAGCAAGACCTAGAGTCCCAGAACATACCTGTTTTAATGACCCAGCCTAGAAGTCTGCAGATGGTCACAGAGAGGCATCAGGGCAGGAGGAGAGGAGCTGCAGAGCACAGGCAGTCATCAGACTTCAATTTCTCAATTCTCTGTGGTGGTTTTCTCTCAGTTCTACAGAACTCTCCTGATCAGAAAAGCTGTCCAGGTTCAGAAGCAGAATCCAGCAATAGCCACAGAGAGTCTTCAAATGATTCACTTGCTGACACTGAAACAAATTGGTGAGTCCCCCCCCCCCTTTCTTCTTTTATCCCAAGCTGGCCTTAAATTCAGTATGTAGTCAAAAATAACCCTGAACTTCTGATCCTCCTGTTTCTGTCTCCCAAGTGGTGGGATTATAGGTATGGGATTATAGGTATGTACCACCATGCCTGGTTTATGTAGTGCTGAGGATCAAATGGGCTTCATGCAGATTAGGCATCACTCTACCAACCGAGCTACATCCCCAGTCCAACTTGTCCAGTCTTAACTATATGAGTCCCCTGTTATAAATCTGTTAGGGTCCGTGACTCGATGGGTCCCCTCCAGGTAACAAATACACGGGATTGGAGATGTAAAAATCAAGCAGAGTCTTTACTTTCCAGCTAGCTGGGGTCGACCAGCTTCCCAAGACATGCAAGTCTGGTCAGAACAATCGACCCCCATTCAGTTTCAGGTACAGATTATATAGGCCCACATAGTCATTACACAAAAAGCATTCCTCAGCAGACACTTTGATCAAACATCTTCTAAAAGCTATAGTTTCGGTTAAACATCTTTTCCAGGAAGGGTAGATCTGGTGTAAGCCTGGTGCAACTTCCCTCTTTTTGTTCCTTATCGGTTATCTGGTATGTGCAAACAGGCCTACAGGACACATTGTAAATCAACTGAGTCTGGGGTCCAGGGTCCAGGAAGGAGGTTTACAGCACTTCAATTCTTAGCATTTCAACTAGGTTAATCATCCATGTGTGGTAGATACAAATCAGGCAGAACAGGCAAGCTTAGCAAGTAAATCTAAATCAACATTTTAAACAGAGTTTTCTATCAAAATGCAGAGTTCTTACAACATTCATCAAGGTATTTCATTTTTTTT